CACTGGGCCCTCTGGCCATCAGCAGGCACCCAGGACCCGGGCTGGCTGCAGCCTCAGGGGACCATGGGTGGGCGGCTTCACCTGGGCCACAGCCGCAGGCACCCAGGACTGCAGGGCAGGCAGCTTGTCCCTCTCCCAGGCCACAGCCACAGGCGCTGGCACCCAGGACCATGGGGAGGGCAGCTTGTCCCTCTCCTGGGCTGTAGGTACAGGCACAACCCATGGCACCCGGGACTTCGGGGACTGTGGGGCATGCGGATTGTCCCTCTCCCAGGCCACAGGTGTAGGCGCAACCACTGGCACCTGGGACCGTGGGGTAGGCAGCTTGTCCCTCTCCCTGGCTGCAGCCCAGCCACTGGTGCCCAGTACTGCAGGACAGGTGGCTTGTCCCTCTCCAGGGCTGCAGCCCCAGCTGCTAGCGCCTGGGACTGCCAGGTGTGCGGCTTGTCCCTCTCCCAGGCTGGGCTGCAGGTGCAGGTGCAGCTGTTGGCACCCAGGACCACAGGGCGGGTGGCTTGTCCCTCTCCCCGGCCGCAGCTTGGCTGGACCCATTCCTCTCTTAAGTTCATTTGTGTCTGGCTGGTCCCCATTCCTCTTTCCCCAGTGTTGAGTGTCTGAGCCATTACCGCATGTGGGGTGAGGGCGTGATGGCCATTTGCATATTGGCTCTTCCTATATAATAAAAGGGTAATAGGCAAACTGACCCTAACAGCAGAACGACTGGGAATGACTGGTCACTGTGACACACACTGACCACCAGGGGGCAGACACTCAATGCAGGAGCTGCCCCCTGGTGGTCAGTGCGCTCCCACAGGGGGAGCTCTGCTCAGCCACAAGCCAGGCTGACTGCTGCCAGTACAGCGGTGGTGGTGGGAGCCTCTCCCGCCTTTTCAGCAACGCTAAGGATGTCCGACTGCAGCTTAGGCCTGCTCCCCGCTGGCAAGTGGACATCCCCCGAGGGCTCCCGTCCAAAAGCTGCCGGGCTGCCAGAGGGATGTCTGACTGCCAGCTTGGGCCTGATCCCCCAGGGAGCGGGCCTAAGCCAGCAGGTGGACATCCTCCGAGGTGTCTCAGACTGCAAGAAGGCATAGGCCGGGCTGAGGGACCCCCCCTCCCCCCGAGTGCACACATTTTTGTGCACTGGGCCTCTAGTTATTATATATGATAGTAAGCACCTGGCACTGTCAAAACTTCATATATTGTTTTTTATCTTTCTAATAATGCTGGGATGGTGTTTCTATTTTTTTATTTCTTAAAGTATTACAATGAGTATTACACAAGTCTCCTTTTTTCTCCCCCTTGACATTCCCCCGGCTTCCCCCACCCCCCAGTGTCTTGTGTCCATTAGTTATTCTCATATGCATGCATATAAGTCTTTCGGTTGATCTCCTACTCCCCCCAACCCTCCCCAGGGTTCCCACTGTAGTTTGACATTCTGCTCAATGCTGCTCTGCCTCTGTATCCATTTTTGTTCATCA